TTTGCTTAGGATTTGTTAGGCTTCCTAAGTCTGCACGTAGATGATTTTTGTCAGTCCCGTAAAAGTCTCAGCCCTCATCGCTTCATGGGTGGCGTCTGTCTTTCCATTTCTTCTGGACTTTGGGAAGAAAACCTGATAAAACTTCTCAATACACTCTCTTTATCACCTACTCCTCTCTGTTATCCATTTTTCTTTTTCTATGCTATGTTCTAGATGAAATTTATTCTCTAATTCTCTCTTGTGCTGTACCCAATCTGTCAAATGCCCAGTGAACATAAAGCTCTAGTTGCTGCCTGCATTTACGTGTAGGAGTTACATAGGATTTATGTCTGCTACATGACTTTATTACTCTCTGCCCTTCCCACCTGATTTGAAGTCAGCCACTGCGTTCTTCGAGCTTGGCGAGCAGAGCTGCTTCAACATCTCAAGTCTGCGCACGTCTCTTTCCGCCACCTCTGGATTCTCATTCACAGACCTCGCTTCCCTGTACCCCTGGTGATCCCCAAGGACTTGTTTTTCCTTGATATTGAACAATTATTTGTGGGAGGTTCCCAGTGGCCTTAGAGGGACTTGCCCCTCCTCAGGGACCCCTTCTCGTGTCAAGGTACAGTCTGGGCTTCCTCAGCCAGGGGTGATGCCTTTTTCAGGATGTAAATCCACTAGCACTTGCAACAGCCCAGGTCCCCAGGATCATTTTCCCTTTTGTTTCTCCCCACCTCTGCTACCACTGGCATGCAATGTCATCTCCTCTGGGCTCCTCTTGGTGGAGGGGTGAGTTCCAGTCTGGTTCCCCTCATCTGAAGGTGGAGCACTTTGGGGACCTGTGTCTGGTGGGTATCTTCTAAGTACAGCCCCTCCGGCCCTGGTTCCTGGCCCCCTTCTCCTCCACACCTGCTTTATAGGATCTCAAGTATGTGGGAAGGACAAGTGAGTGGCCTTTGAAGTCCCCCCTGCTTCCTTTGCTGCTGTTATAAGAGAACAGCCTCGTACTGCCTTTTTCCTTCAAAAGAGGCAGGCTTTTTAGACATGGAGGGTTTTCATTGTTTCCGGTGCAGGGTGGATTCAAATAATCTTGCTTTCCATTACTGGAAACCAGAGGGCACATTTGGGGCTTTGAAGTTAAAACATTTCAAAATGAAGAACCGCTGTCACCTAGAAATTCCTGGTCCCGCCCACTGCGACCTGCAGATCCTGCTTGCCCTGCAGGGTTCTGGGAGGACCCTGTTAGACAACATGAAATTGCTAACTGAAGGGCCATGGGTGCACCAGAAGTTTTATGAAATCTGAAACCTAAGCAGAACCTGGAAATATAATTTTTCCCTTCGCGATTTATGCTTGAGGCAGTCATAGTGGAGTTAAAAAAAGCACTTGCCACATGGTTGAGGGAATCATTAGAAACACCCCAACCCTGAGCCTGAGGGGGATTTCAATCAGAAAGGATCAGGACGGGCCTTCTGAGCGCTCCTGGAACCGCAGCCTGGAGGAAAAGTGGAGCTCAAGTGCTTAGGGGATTAAAGTAAATAAAATGCTTCACTAGAGATGAGGGCGCAAGTCTCCGTGTGATTTAACGACTGCGGAAGGGTGATGCACATCCCGGGCAGGCAGCCAGCTGCCTTCGGCTGGTTCAGAGCAGCAGGACTATGGTGAGGGGCCATGGTGTCTTTCCGGCCATTCTGGCTTATTCCAGAAACTGGAAGAAGCCCTTGTGGATGGAAAGTGGGGGAGGATTCTGGAAAAGCTGAGATCAGAACTGGTGGGCAGAGTCCCCATGATAAGGAGACCTTCTAGGACGGGAATTTGAATTTGATTGTGGGTATGATGGGAAACTACTAAAATTTTTGGAGCACTAAATGAATATTTGCCAGAGGACATTATGTTAAGTGAAATAATCCAGGCACATGCAGCATGGTGTCACTCATCTGGAGGATATGGGAAAGTCGATCTTGCAGGAGTGGATTTGAGAGGGGTGGATGGGGATAAGGAGAAACAGGTGAATGAATGTGATGACCGTTCCATGGAAAAAACATATTCTGGAGTTCTATTATACAGTAGGGGGATCATAATTAACAATATTGTATTGTATATTTTTAAAAAATACCTAGAAGGCAGGAGTGTGCATGCCTCGCCACAAAGAAATAAGAAAGGATGATTTTTTTAAAATACCCTAATTTGATCATTATGCATTTAACTTGTACAATTATTAGGTGTCAAAAATACATTTTAAAAATAGCAAAAATGTTTTGTTGAACGAAATTATTTGTGCAGTGCCGTTCCTGGCATACCAGGTGCATACATGCAAAATCACATCATGATCATTATTACTTTTCCCACAGAGGAAGCCAATGTCTATCTGCGGTGACTGGATGAGCAAGCTGTGGTCCAACAGGGACCACTCAGCAATGAAGAGGAGTGACCTTCGGGTCTGCAACCCACATGGGTGAAGGTCAGAAATTCAGTTCTGAGTGAAAGAAGCCAGACAGAGGGGTGCAAGCCATGCCACGTGGCCTTCCACCCATGGGAGGTAAAGCAAGGCTACGGGGCGGGATGGGAGGGCCCTGATGGCAAAGGGACAGGAACTTCCCCTGGGAAGGAAATCACAATAGCGTGATGATATCGATGAGTATGAGGTGGGCGGTAGACACATTCCTAGAACTCATCCATCTGTGCACCCAAAGGCAGGCACTTTATTAATTTTTTTTTCAGCTTACATACAATCTTACTTTTCATATAGTTTTATGGCAAGAAAGCTATGTTGTCATCCATTTCTAAAAGGTTAACTATTGTAAGTTCAGCACTTTGAAATAATTCTTGGGTGAAGGAAAAACTCTAATCATAGAATCAGCAGTGTTTTAAGCTACATATGTTTTGTGGAACAGTCAAAAGACTCCTGGATCTTTGGCCATTCTCACAGGTTGCTGTGGATGTGCTTATTATTATTATTATTATTATGTCTTGCTCCACGTATTTTGTGAAAACCACCTCAGTAAAGTTAGTTTTAGAAACATCACCAGCAGATAAAACACAAGTTACGTCATCCATATTCTGAGCCAGAGTGAGGTTCCCGGCAAAGGAGGAAGGCTGGCATAGATGTTCATGCCACAAGGCCCTTCGCAAGTCCCCATTGGACGTTGAGCCCAGCGGTTGCTCAAGCCAAAGGGGAAGCAATGTGGCCAGTGTCCAGGAGTGCCCCTGGGGCCGTGCTCTCCCTGTACTGCCTGTGGTCTGTGCTCCCTTCCTTCAGCCGGTGAGCTCCTCAGCATGGAGGGGCTGCTCCTCCTCACGCACATGTTCCCACACAGGCCCTCGCTGGAGTCTCAAGGAAGGCCTTGGACACAGCTCGGCCCATGGGACAATCACACACAAGACGGCCTGGGGCCAGGCTGACCCCCCTCCCAAGGGACATGGGGCAGCCACACTCAGGTGGGAACGAGAGAGCATTTACTAATAAATCATGTTACATATGGTCAGAATGAGTCTCCAGCAAAGCATGGGTTGGAGCAGAGAGGAGACAGGTTCTCTGATGGCAACACAGATGGGTCTTGACCTAACGTCCTGCCTGACCGTGGGAAAGTGCGCTCTGCGGGCAGGATGCTCAGGGCACTCTGAGAAAGGCCTGGAGCTGCCCTTGGCAGAGACTGAATCAGAGTCATTGGGGAGGTCCTCTGTCATCCTGAGAAAATGCTGCAGAATCCCTGGGACTTGAAAGGCTCTCACTGGTGACTCAGGGCAAGGCACTGCTGGGGACTTGAGAGAAGAAAGGTCAGTAGCCATTGCAGCTCTGCCCAGGGCCTTGCTGTGTAGGCACAGCTAACCCATGCTGGGTGCAATCTGGCTGTGTGCTAGTGCCTCTTGCCCCCAGTCACCCAGACAGCTACTAAAACAGGGCTCCCCGCTGGGGCCTGGTGGCCTTCCAGGAAAGACATGGCATAGGGATTTCAGTCTGCATCGAAGCCAACGACACTGTCCCCCAGTCATGGTGACAATCTGCGCATCCCCTTCCTACATCCCCTCCCTCTGAGTGTCCACAGGCCTGCTGGGCCGCTGAGCTCGCTGTGCTTGTGCCTGTGTGTTTTCTGCAGAAGGCAAGGACTGCCACACATCTGCATGGGAGAACATAGGGTCCTGACCTGTCTCTTGCAGTTGTAAAGCACTTGTGTTCTGAGCTCTCAGAGCTCAAGCTCTCAATAACTGGGGTGACATTTATATATAGACCAGAGGTCAGCCGATCTGACCCAAATCCGTAGGCCAAATCCTCCGCGCCACCTGCTTCTGTAAATGCAGTCCCACCGCATCCCATGGCTCTCCATCGTGTCTGCTTACACGCTGCTGAGAGCACCTTCTACCTGCCCACTCCTGTCGTAGCACTAGTTTTGGAAAATTATGGGACCGGCCAGATCTTTGTTAATATTCCCAGGTTGGGTAGGACCTCTCTCACCTGGACCACATGGGCTTTCCTCCTGCACAGTGCCCACCAAGGGTGGGAGGGAGGAGGTGAAAAGGCCCCAAGGTGTCAAGGAGTCAGCAGCAGAGGCAAGTTGAGGCTGGCTCACTGTGTGTCCCACGGAGTCCCACCTGGCCAAGCTCATAGGGTGCAATCTTGACTGTGGATTAAAATTGGCTTTGGGCACGATACAGATTGAATGCAATCCCCATCAAGATAGCACTGACATTCTTCCGAGAGCAAACACAAAACAAAACAAACAACAACAACAAAACCCAGTCTTAAAACTCATTTGGAAGAAAAGGAGACCGAAAATAGCTAGTGCAATTCTAAGCCAAAAGATCAGTGCTGGAGGTATCACAATATCTGGCTCCAGATTATACCACAGAGCTGTAGTAACATCACCATGTGGTCCTGCATAGGACCCAGACCAATGGGGCCGAGTTGAACACCCGGAGACAAAGCCAAACAGGTGCATCATCTGACTACAGGTGCCAAAAATAGGGATTCAAATAAGACAGCCTTTTAAACAAATGGTACTGGAAAAGCTGGTGATCCATATGTAGAAGAATGTCACTAGGCACACAAGTCAAATGGTGCTGGGAAAACTGGTTATCCACATATAGAAGAATGTCATTCTGCACACAAGTCAACTCAAGTGGATCAAAGGCCTCAGAATTAGGCCAGCAGCCATGTTGATCCAAGAAGAAAACATCGGGTCAACACTCCAGCATACAGCTACAGGTAATGACTTTCTCAAGAGGACTCCAATACTCAGGAAATAGTGCTAGAGTTTTTAAATGGGATGGCATCAAAATACAAAGTTTTAGCACAACAAGAAAAAGAATGTGAAGAAAGAACCTACAGAATGGGAGGAAAACTTTGCCAGCTACTCTTTCTTACAGAGGATCAATATGCAGATATAAAAAGAACTCAGAAAACTTACACTTACACATAACCTAATTAATAAATGGGAAAATGAACTAAACAGATTCTTCTCAAAATAATAAATACAAATGGCCAACAAATATGAAAATAAGATATTCAATATTGTTAGCAATCAGGGAAATGCAAATCAAAATTATCCTGAGATCTCATCTCACACCAGCCAGAATGGCAGTCATCAAGAATACAAACAATAATAAATGCTGGAGTAGAAGAAACATTTTTACATTTTTGATGGGATGGTGTAACTATGGAAATCAGTATGGAGGTTACACAAAGACTAGGCCTGAAACACCATATGACACAGCTATACCCCTCTTCAATATTTATTCTATGATATATATATATATATATCACATTTTCTTTATTTACTCATCTATTGAGAGGCACCTAGGCTGGTTTTATAGCTTAGGTATTGTGAATTGAGCTGCTGTAAACATTGATGTGGCTGCATCAATGTAGTATGCTGATTTTTTATATTCTTTGGATCTATGCCCAGGAGTGAGATAATTGGGTCAAATGGGGGTCCCATTCCAAGTTTTCCAAGGAATCTCCATACTGCTTTCCAGAGTGGTTGCACCAATTTTCAGTCCCACCAGCAATGTAAGAGTGTTACTTTTCCCTCACATCCTCACCAACATCTATTGTTACTTGTATTCTTGATAATTGCCATCCTGACTGAAATGAGATGGAATCTCAGTGTAGTTTTAATTTGCATTTCTCTAATTGCTAGAGATGTTGGACATTTTTTTTTCATATATTTGTTGACTGACTCTATTTCTTATTCTTTGAAGAGCCTGTTCAGTTCCTTTGCCCATTTATTGATTGGGTTATTTGTGTTTTTGAGTTCTTAATATTTATCCTGGAGATTAATGCTTTATCTAAGGTGCAGGTGGCAAAGATTTTTTCCAATATTGTAGGCTCTCTCTTCACATTACTGATTGTTTCCTTTGCTACGAAGAAGCTTTTTGGTTTGATACCATTCCATTTATTGACTCTGGATCTTACTTCTTGTGCTTTAGGAGTCTTGTTGAGGAGTTCGGTTCCTAAGCTGACATGATGGAAAGTTGGGCCTACACATTTTGTCTGGTCTGATGCTTTCTTAGGTCCTTGATCCACTTTGAGTTGATTTTTGTACAGGATGAGAGAGCGAGGTTTAATTTCATTTGCCACATATGGATTTCCAGTTTTCCCAGCACGATTCTCTATGACATGCAGACACTAACACACAGTAAGGCAGGAGGGAGGGACAAATAGACGCTCATTGGATTAGACAAGGGGATTGAAGGGAAGGGAAGAAGGATGGGAATAGGTAAGACAATGGAATGAATCAGACATTACTTTTCTGTGTTCATATATGAATACATGACCAGTAAACTCCACATCCTGTACAACCACAAGAATGGGAAGACATAGTCCGTGTATGATATGTCAAAGTACACTCTGCTGTCATGTGTAAATAAAAACAACAAATAAAAAATAAAGTCTTCATACTGCAGTGACAAGTGCACACCCAGGTTGAGGGCAGAACGATGCACAAGAGCCAAACATGGACCAGCCCACGTCTATGTCAATGGATGAATGGATAAAGAAACTGAGGGGTGTATTCACAGGGTGTTTTATTCATCCATAAAGAAAAAAAAGAAATTATATTATTTGCAGAAAAAAATGGATGGAACTTGAGAATGTATGTTATTGAAATAAGGCAAACTCAGAAACTCAAGGGTTGTGTATCTTCTTTCGTATCTGGAACTGGAAAGGAAAAAGGAAAAGAAAGGTGGGGGGGGTGTCTCATGAGAATCCAAGGAAGATCAATGGAGTAGAGGAGATGGGTGGGGGAGGGGAGGGAGCTGGGAAATCCGGGGATATTGTGGGCTAAACTATATGGTTATATCACGTGGATGTGGGAACGTGTGACGACAAATCCCACCATTATGCATAAGTACAATGACCCTATAAAAACATGGGGACAAAGACAAGGACAAGGAAACAGGTGAGCTGCAGGACACTGGAGCTAACTTGCCTTGTGGGGGTGGTGGGCAGCAGGGAGACTCCCTATATCTCACATTCGCTTGGAGGTAGGGTGGGCTTTAGGAAGCTTCTTCAAGGTTCCCACAGCCCTGGTGTGGAGTAGA